TAAAGTAGCTCCACAAACAAAATGTAACAAATTCTACCATTTTACGTTACAGTGTTAGGTACTCTGACGTTAATAGCACTATATTAACGATAGAGTAAAAGGGCATCGCGGTGTCTATTACTTTACAATAAAGATTTTTTACTCTGTCACATTCTTCATGACAGAAGAGGTTCCACTAAATCTCTTTCTCTTAGTCACTAGTATTCCTGAATATTTGTGTTGTATAAGATTCAAATAATAGGTGACACAAGGGGGAATTTGTATAAAACATGTGTCACTTGGAGATGCGAAAGGATCTCAAATGACTAAACTTTTAAAAAGTAGAATTAAACCATTGAAAAATACACTTATTATGTACGTGTTGGTTCCTTGGGACTGAACCAAGTATGATAAATAAATACATCACATCCATCTCTGTTACTACACACTGAATCAACAATGGTAATAAATACATACTACACATTGGATTAATAATGTTAATAAATACATACTACAAATTGGATCAATAATCTTAATAAATACATACTACACATTGGATTAATAATGTTAATAAATACATACTACAAATTGGATCAACAATGTTAATAGATACATACTACACATTGGATCAACAATGTTAATAGATACATCTCTGTTACTACACACTGAATCAACAATGGTAAAAAAATCCATCTCTGTTACTGCACGTTGAAACAACAATGTTAATAAATTCATCTCTGTTACTGCACTTTGAAACAATAATGGTAATAATTACATTTCTGTTACAGCATACTGGATCAACAATATTAATAGATACATCTCTGTTACTGCACGTTGAAATAACAATATTAATAAATCCATCTCTGTTACTGCACTTTGAAACAATAATGGTAATAATTACATTTCTGTTACAGCATACTGGATCAACAATATTAATAGATACATCTCTGTTACTGCACGTTGAAATAACAATATTAATAAATTCATCTCTGTTACTGCACGTTGACACAATAATGGTAATAAATTCATCTCTGTTACAATACACTGGATCAACAGTGTTAATAAATCCATCTCTGTTACTACACATTGAAAGAACGATGGTAATAAATCCATCACTGTCACTGCATACTGGAACAACAGTGTTAATAAATCCATCTCTTTTACAACACACTGGATCAACAGTGTTAATTAATTCATCTCTGTTACTACGCATTGAAACAACAATAACAAGAAATTCACCTGTGTTTCTACATAATGGAACACTTTCTTGTCCAATGAATGTTAAAACAGCCGTCAGATGGCGCTCCTTTTTGTTCAATATATTGACTTCGAGAGAACTTTATTGTTATTTCAGTTTTAAAACTTTTCTTTTGTTTCAGAAAAAGCGATGACGAGCAGACGTGAGTAAACTTGAAAATCAGCTTTAACAGGCAATTGTGAATGAAGGTCTTCCAGGCTTGAAAACGTTTCATATAAAAAAAAGATTTAGCACTCAACCATCAGGGGAAAATCTTCCGTGACTAATAACCTTCTTATTGATTTATATAGGGGCTTCATCACATGGGTTTACTCTTTTTTATTTTTTTTCAGATAATAACTTTCCGACATCGATTTTTTTCTACACTGTAACTAACACTCATCCTCCCCACCTAGTTTTTCACATTCCCACGGAATATCTTTCTAGAATTTATTACGAAAAATCTTATCTGAAAACCCCCTGGTGGCTAAGCAGTAAGCCTAAAGGCTTATAACGGTTTTGATACCCGCTGTGGGAACAAGTCATACAGCCCCTTGTGCAGCTTTGTGCTTAATAACAAATAACAACTTTGTTAGTCACGATAGGTGTGATAAATATCAAATTTGTTATAGTAAAGAAAATTACACTAGGTTTAGGTTTTAGAAATGTAAACAATTGATTTGTGTGAAAAATAGGTTTAGGTTTTAGAAGTAAACAACTGATTTATGTGAAAATCCTCATAATGAATTTTCTGTATAAAAGTTTAATCACGTTTATTAAACATTTCCATCGAAATGCTAAGCCTATGGATTCTGTCTACTTTATTTTTTATCAACTGAAAACTCCTTTACAGAATTCGTGAAGCGTTTTAATGTCCTTTTGCTATATTTTATCTGGATCTTCAGATAGATGGGATTTCAAAAATAATCTAAATGGTTTCTGTTATTTTCGAGAGGTAATTGAAATACCGTGTTTTATCTAGGAACCTGGATTAATTTCTTTATTTGATTACATAAGAGTTGTATTTTATATGTAGGTTCCGACAAAGGTTTATGTTACTTGATTATTCAGTTGATTTATTTTCTATGTATGCTGGTAATGACGTGTAATGACAGTCGTACCATCCAACACTGGTAATGACGTGTAATGACAGTCGTACCATCCAACACTGCTAAAGACGTGTAATGACAGTCGTACCATACTTCACTGGTAATGATGTGTACTCACTGTCATACCATACTTCGTTGTTAAATAATCCTTCACTCGTTAAGATTTAATCCAAAATACAAGAAAGAACGTTGCTTTTTATGTCAGTGTATACAGTTGATGGTATGGTTTCAGAGTTACGGCATGTAACACAATTTGTTGCTTTACCTCGATGTTTATAGTAGTGTTACAAATTCTCGTCCTTTACTTCTACTGAATTGTTATTTAGTAATTTTATACGAAGTCTAATAATGGTTACGACGGAACAAAAGTCAACACAGCTGTATCAACATGGTGGACGAGAGCAGTGAATTATGAGATTTTCCACCTGAGTTTTAATACTTAAAGTGAATGAAACAAGTCATACTCAGTAAATATAATGAGCATTATGAATTATGCAATATTAATAACTACTTTTGATATATTCACACATAACATTTTAGGATATATATATATACAGTATCGATTAAGCTAAATATCTAATTTATTAACAAAACATATTAAGGAAGGAAAATTACACAAAACCCTTTTTCTCAGGCTCGTCGTTTTGATTAATTCAGTCTGACTGCTTAGCACATTTTTTTTCGATTAAACCAAACATTAAATTAAATTACGTTTTCTGACTTGACTTCGTCTCGTGATTCATGAGATTTAATCTTTCATTGCTGAAATGTAACAATAACACCAAATAAGTATCGCGTAAGTTTAAGTAAACAGCTTAGTATTGCGATAACACCTAACGCTAGACGTATATTTGTAAATATGAAAATTGATTCAAAATCTGTGGTACGTGAAAACGCTGAAAGCTTTTTAAATAGCTTGTTATGAGTGAAGTTACATTTTGAGTAACGAATATTGGGTTTTAAGGTTCAAACAACTTTTCTTAAGTAAGCATTTTAAGTATAAGCCAATTTCTCGTGATAAACTCCATTCATATGTGAAGTAAATATCACACCACATCTGACTTGACTAATAATGACGTGTACTCACTGTCATACCATACTTCCCTGGTAATGACGTGTACTCACTGTCATACCATACTTCCCTGGTAATGATGTGTACTCACTGTCATACCATACTACAGTGGTAATGACGTGTAATGACAGTCATATCATACTTCAATGGTAATGATGTGTACTCACTGTCATACCATACTTCTTGTCCCAAGTTAGATTTGTTGAGTTGATTTTATTGGCCCTCTTAATGATTAGACGATTATTTAACAATCACAAAATCAACTCAACAAATCTAACTTGGGACAGCCCTCTTAATGATTAGACGATTATTTAACAATCACAAAATCAACTCAACAAATCTAACTTGGGACAGCCTCTTAATGATTAGACGATTATTTAACAATAATAAAATCAACTCAACAAATCTAACTTGGGACAGCCTCTTAATGATTAGACGATTATTTAACAATAATAAAATCAACTCAACAAATCTAACTTGGGAC